GATTCTTGATTTTTGACGGGGGTCAGAACTCTGGATTCTTTCTCTCATTTAAGTGAAGCGTGATACTCCAAACATAGTTCTTGCGATTCCCCTTTGGGAGACCTGAATAGTGTTTTCATCCTGTATTTGTAGGACCCAGGTCTCTAAGGCATATGTTAATGCAGGAAGAACAGTGGAATTGAAGAGATGTGCCCGGAGCCGGAGGTTCTTCATCCTCTTATTTATTTCTTCGACACTCTTGAAGGCGTTCCAAGCCGCTCTCTTCCTTCTGAAAAACTCAGGTGCCAGGTCATTTGTCATGTTGACTTCTTGACATAGTTACATATAACTGTTGCATTCAAAGATGCTCATCTGGTTGAGAGCTAATGGAACGTCAGGAAAGAGACCGTTTCTCATAAACATTGTCTTTGTGAGATTTAGCTGTAGTCCGACTTTTCCACACTCATGGTCAAAGTCGGTCAGCATTTGTGCCGCTTGGCTAATGTTTGATGTTATTAGAATGATGTCATCAGCGAAGCGGAGGTGGTGTTGTTGCCAACCATCTATCTTCATTACCATTCCTTCCCATTCCAGTAGTTGCATGACGTTCTCGAGGGCAGCACTAAAGAGATTGTCAATGTCATGGATGTCTCCCTTCTTGTACAGTAGTACAGTTCTATGGTTTTCCATTGGGACGGCACCTTGCATCAGACAGGTAGCGTGTGAAGAGCCAAGCCAGTGTATTGATGAGTACTGATGGCAGGTCCTTCAGGTGTTCGGGTCTGTCCTTGTCTTGGTCACGTGCTTCTTTACCGATGAAATGGCATGTCAGATTTCGGAAGGGAGAACATTGAGAATGACATATCCATCCTGTAGAATTTGTTATTTGGGCAGGTGGATGTGGCTATTGAAAAGATCTGAGTAGAAGTTATGGATAATCTTCTCTATTGCTCTTCTGGAAGATGTGATACATCCATCAGGATGTCAGAGGGCAGTCATCTTGGTCTTGTAATTGGTGAAGGACAGGCGGGTGAATGCTTTTCCCAGCATCTGCCGCATAGGCCAGCACTGCTTCTCTTCTCTCTTTGAGGTCTTCCTTTATTGCTTCTCTGCACTGCTTTGAGAGCTCAGACATTCACTTGCAGTTGTCTGAGGTTTGCGCCAAGTCAGGTTGGAAAATGAGCTTGTGAGTTTTCAAAGACAGGCATCTTTTTGTGGCTATCTCTCTCTCAGTGTACTTCGCACAATCATGGAGGTGCTGAACCAGTAGATCGTATTCCTCGTCAATGTTTTCAATGATGGTATCTTCCCATATTGCCGCAATAGTGCCAAAGAACTCCCAGTTGGTGGTCGTTCTGAAAGTCTCTTCTTAAACTTTGCAGCCCTTTATCCCGACTCTGTGAAATAGAATTTTGCGTGAAGGAGACTTGGCTAGATTGCGTTTGGAATTTGGGGACAACAGCAACATCGGTCAAGCAAAACCAACGAATGAATATGATGCAATCAATTTCATCGTGGAACCGTCCATCAGGAGACTCCCATGTCCAGCATTTAGATTCCACCTTCTGGAATTGTGAGTTAGCATGGATGGTCTTAGTCAACATGATGAACTCAGACAGTCTCTCACCCTGTTCATTCCATTCTAGGCCATGGGTCCTGATGTGGAGTTCTTTAGCAGATCTTCTCGGTCCTATCTTGGCATTACAATCATCAACAATCATCTTGTAGAAGGTGTGGTCTTCTTTATAGAACTTCTCCAGCTCCATGTAGAACTTCTCAAATTCTCCTTCATCATAATTGGTTGTTGGTGCATAGATAATGAAGATAGAAACTGCCGGCAGTGAGGCACCTCTATTCTAGGGTCATTGTCTAATTCGGATAGTTAGGCATTCAAATGAATCAATATTTATGGCCAAGTTCATGTTGACAAGGACACTGATACCATCAATGCCTCTTTTGTTACATGTTCCAAGGAACAACTCTTCTATCATTTCAAAAACAGTGTGATGTGATTGATGCCTTCTCATCTCGGTCAGACCAATTTGTTGTAGTTGATCCTTCACACCTGCACCATCAGGTCCTTGATGGATGTGCATCCGATGCCAAGTGTAGGTGCATTGAAAGTACAGACAGTCATTTTTGTCCTTCTCGTTTTGGCAGCCTAGTTTGGCCCTGAGATTTTATCAGCCTCTCCTTCCTCATCCTTCTTAATGCTGCCATATTGGTGGTTCTTTCGGGGTCAGGGGAATGAAACCCATTGTATTTACTGGTTTTGGTACATCAGTTACACCATGGATAGCTTGCCAGGCTCTACTGTGTGGGCGGGACACTCTCTGCAGCTTGCCACGCTCTCCAAGAGGGATAGAGGCTTTTAAGGCAGCCTCTAATCATCCTTTCAGGTATTCCCAGGGTTCAAACCATATTTGAACCCATCAAATATGGTGGGATAATCTTGTATTAAGTGTTTTATGATTTGTCCTGGAGCATGGCAGCGGCTGGGTAGTGGAGGGAGTGGAGATGGTGGAAGTCTGCTGGGCTGCTGAACAGGCAGAGTATCTCTGTTCCCGGGTCCATAGAGCCTGGAATCCAAGGTCATAGAGTTCTGCTTCCCTGATTCTGTGGAGCTTCACTCGTGAGTGAGTCTCGGCTCAAGTGTCCAGAAAGCATCCTGGAGTGTGGCAGCAGCTGATTAGTGGAGGTAGTGGAGGTAGTAAGGTATTTACTCTTAACTGAGCTTTTTATCCACTATTAAAACTTCCTGAAGAACCTTCTTTCAGAGATTTAAAGCACAAATTTAGCACACAAAAATTAAAGTACACAAGCACTTTTTTCTTTAATAGTCCCATCCAGTCAGGGGAAGTGATTCAGAGGCTAATACTGCAAAAGTGACTACTAAAACTCAACCAGGCACTAAGTGGATGAAAACTCATTGATAAATGATCTCAATGAAAAAATACTAAGAGTTGTACAGAGACTCTTGTTTCTATGGTAAATCAGCACCAACTGGAAAATAGCCATTCTCCACTTGGGTTTGTGTGGTTCAGTAACTGCCTTGAGAAGCAATGTTCCAAAGCACCCCTTTATTCCCAATCAATTTGAAAATTATATATGAATGTTCTTCTGCCTTATAACTAAACACATTTTTCTTAGGTTAAGAAGGACCTTGTTGAGAAACAGATCATAACATGTTTCACAGCATGAATAAATTTTCAGTAATTCACGGCAGGAGGGACTGTTAGGGAAATATTGTGAAGCATTTGACTGTGCTGCTAATGGGGATGCAGCATCTGCACCTCGAGCCACACCTGCCACCTTCGTTCAATCACCAAGGACAAAAGGCGAAAGAAGAAATGATAATCTTTCAAATTGCAGTGATGACATATATCTCAAAGGGAACTCCAAACGCCAAGACATGGACTAATTCATCCACCATAATATACATATTATTCAATATACATACATTCCCCTGACCCTGAAAGAGCCTCCAATATGGCCCTATTGGCAAAGATAAGTAAGGAGAGACTGCTAAAATCTCAAGACTGGGACAAATGGAGATGTTACTGGCACTCACTTGAGTAAATCGATGAAGATTGGGATGACAGTGATATGGTGAATATACATATTAGTTAAAATTTCATTAATTTGAAATATCACTATATAAAAAGTTGGTTGCAATTTGTTGACATAAGATGATTTAAGCTTTGAACAATACAGCAAGCACAAAATCAAATGTCTATAATATTCAAGTGTCACCTATAATATCCGGTGGCAGCTTGGAGAATATATATATACTTCTTTCTAATAAAATGTGAGGAACATGTTAACTATAATACCTACATGATGAAACAACAAAAAGCAAAATTTGGGTTCAATTTTCTGGCTCCCCAAAACAACAAAACAAATCCAAATATTCTAACTTCCTACTCTTCCTTCTCCAGAGTTCCCAATGGCAAAAGAGGGTGGAGGAAGCAAGGAAGGGGAGTCCCCAAACTAAACAAAAAATAAAAATTACCACAGCCCCAAATGAACACACTGCACTGTGAGTTCTTGAGTGGGTGTGCAATGCGTGTGTTCCATGGCTGAGAACTGCCTCCCTCGCCACATTAGCAGAGGAACAATGGGGGACTACAGACTGAAGGTCAAAATGGCCCATTTAATGCAGAGCTGCTAGCATACTTACAGCACATCTGAGGGGGGTAGAGGTATAGGATTGCATGTAGATGTGGTTGATCATTTGCAGAGGTAAAGCGTTTTGACAGAGAAACGCTTTACCTCTGGGGTAATCCTCTGGGGGGAATTAACTCAAGGAGATACTGTCTCCCAGGGACATCTGTTTTGCTTTTCTCCTTCCCTTGCTACTAGTAAATATTAAACAATTAAGTTTACTTATTAATGCTTGCAGTTATTTGCTTAAATACAGGAATAGATATAGATTCCAAAACTTAGCTCGCTGGGATCTGAGGGCAAGGCTGCTGGGCTTCTACCATAAATCCCAGACTAGGTCCTCAGGCTGATTTAACTCTTCCTTCCCCAAAGGGGTCCTGTCTCTTAAGTCATAACAGCTTGCATCAAACGACTGTGCTGATTTATTGAATTCTCCACACTGATCATAAATGGGGCTGGAGCGATAGCACAGCAGGTAAGGCGTTTGCCTTGCACGCAGCCAACATGGCCGACCCGAGTTCGATTCCTCCGCCCCTCTCAGAGAGCCCGCAAGCTACTGAGAGTATCTCGCCCGCACGGCAGAGCCTGGCAAGCTCCCCGTGACGTATTCGATATGCCAGACACAGTAACAACAAGTCTCACGATGGAGATGTTACTGGGCCCGCTCGAGCAAATCGATGAATAACTGGAGGACCGTGACTGTGACAGTGATTATAAATGTTTCCTAACTCACTGGAGATATCAACTGCATAGTTCATAAAATATGGGTAGTGGTACTCTTGCCAGATTCCCTTATTCAACAAGACAATTAGGATAAGTAATAGCAACTCAAAATCATTGATTTACAAGTAAATTACCACAATTGGGTATCTGCAGGCTTGTCAGGGGAATATTCTTATTCCTTTCATTTACGCAGTACAAATCCTGAGTTTCTGGATTGGATTTAGTCTCCTGAAGAGTCTTGATCCACATAATATCACAGGAGCATGTAAATGGATTGCCAACCAGGATCCTACATGAAACAAAAATGAAACCTGGTCAAGTTGCATTTTTTAAAAAGTTTTTTATCTATTCTGTGTGTAAAAACCAAGACATTATGAGTTTATTCAAGCAGTCTTCAAAAATCATAACTAAGTTTGTGGCATGATAGCACTAACGGATCATTCCTTTATTTAATATCTGACAAATGTCTGCTATGTCCAAATGCCATGGCAGAGGCTAAAGAATGGATAATAACATAAGTGAAATTATAGGTGAAACAAAATAGGAACATAAACAGTTACAAAAGAAAATTGCAAAGGGTATCTCATAAGATGGAGGAAAATGCTATAACAAATACAATACAGTTATTACATTATGCAGATTATATTACAATAAGAGGATTTTAGGTGAAGATGACCATGATAAGCTTTCAGGAACACATATATATATCACATTCTGACCAGGCTGGAAACTCAAATGTTCTCATTTAGTAAGCCCAGACTTCATTGGTGGATGAAGATCAATTTTATCTCAATTTCAGATGAGTCTCCCAGTATAATGCTAAGACTAAATTGGCACTCCCAGTTTTCTTCATTATACAGTAGTTCAGTGATTGATGGAAGAAAGTTGCAGTGAATGTGAGCGAGAGAATGTGAACGGAAGTGCTTGGGCGACTCCCCCAATACCCTGAAACACCCCAAGCTCAGGGTTTCTGAAAACAAGGGCAGCTGAGCTCCTGCTTGAGCATCTTACAACCCTGTAAAAGAGCCTGCAAAGAGAAAGCCACCATTCAGCTGTGTTGCCTGGATTCCCACCGCCTGCCATTGGTGAAAGAGGAAGTAGTCCAGAGGAAAATAAAAACCACAAGAAAAAAATCTTTAGATGCTTATTTATAATTCTCAGTGGCCTATTTAAGATGAATTCCATTTATGGTAATGAGCCTTTAAATGAGGTCATTTAAAATCGTTACCTAGGCTCTTCCTGGTATTAACCGCAATACTTCAGATATCCGTGAGGACAGCATCTAGACTTTTCAACATCACTTACTCCTGTGGTTTTCTGGTTGGGTTCTAAGAATCTCAAGGCTCCCTGGAGACTGTTCTGGGAGTTTCTATGGGGAAAATGTAGTCATGCAGACTCATTTAATTTGTGTCTGCTTCATCTCTTCCAAGCATCCCACAGACAGTGAAATATGATTAGATGCTACTAGATATGAAATTTAATGCAGAAGAGATTCAAAAGGATTAAACTCCACTAATCTGTTTCCTGGAGTAAAACAAGTCATGCTTACTCATAAGAAATAATTAGTATGTGATAAGATAATCAATTGTAAGGACAGCAATGCTTAGATAGTCACACTGCACCTGCTGAGAGTCTTTTTTGTTTTGGTAGCTCATTGTGCAATACCCTATTGCTGTTGTAGTACATAACACTTGCTTGTTTAGATCTCTCTTGTCTGAATGGAGACTGAATCCTCAGATACAGAAATTGTGGTGATGAAGCGAAAGCACAGTGGGAAGGGTGTTTGTTTTGCATATGCCAACCTGGGTTCGATTCCCCTAAGCACCATCAGGAGTAATTCCTGAATGCAGAGCCAGAATTAACCCCTGTGCATCACCGGGTGTGACCAAAAAACAAAAACCAAAAAATGCAGAAAATGTTCTTGCATCCATGGCCTAATCTTTATTAGTTTAATTTGTAACAGACAGACCCCTGAGCTCCTTCCTGTTCATCCCTAACACTGTGCCCGGTTTTCTCTCTCTCCCAGGTCAGTCAATATTTAAACCCGGGACTCTGCCTACCCTGTGCACACGCCCCAGTCATCCTCTGGGACCTGGGTCGCCCACCATCCCTTAGCCCTTTTCTGTTCATCCTCAACACTGCACCTGTTTTTTTTTTTCCCTCTCCCAGGTCTGTACTCTCACACACGCCAGGTACCCATAGGGGGCATGGTCTTTGAAAAAGTGGGCATGGTCTCTGCAGAAGTGGGCGTGGGTTATTTTGGGCTGGCAGATGCTCATGAGGCCATAGGTAAATTACTCATACCCAGCAACCTCGTGGAACATCTCAGTCTCTACACCCCCACACCAACATGAAGAAACAACACAAATCCCCACCATGAGGAGAGGATGATGAAAAGTGTCCAGAAGCCTCAATAGGTGTTGCTTACATAATGGAGCTCTCTGATAAGAATTCAGAAATGAAGTAATGAAGATGTTTAATGAACTCAAAGAAACAATGAGACGGATATCCAGTAAATTAAAGGAGGACATGAAAGAAACAAACGAGAAAATACAGGAAGAAATGAGAGCAGAAATTGGAAAGCAACGCACAGAAGTGACATGAATAAAGAATTCAGTAGATGAAATAAAAATCTCAGTGTGTGTCCTCAACGGACTGTAGTGATAGCACAATGGGTAGGGTATTTTCCTTGCATGCAGCAACATGGCCGACCCGGGTTCGATTCCCCCGCCCCTCTCGGAGAGCCCAGCTAGCTACCGAGGGCATCTCGCCTGCACATCAAAGCCTGGCAAGTTACCTGTGACATATTTGATATGCCAAACACAGTAACAACAAAGTCTCACAATGGAAATGTTACTGGGCCCGCTCGAGCAAATCAATGAACAATGGGAGGACACTGATAGTGACAGTGCCCTCAACAGTAGAATGGCTACAGCTGAAGACAGAATGAATGAGCTGGAAGATGAGCTGTAGGAAACCTACAGGCAACAACAAACAATGGCAAGAGACCTCAAAATAGCTCTAGAGTGAATTAGAGTCTTAGGGGATGATTCCAAGAGGAACAACATTAGAATCCTTGGAGTACCAGAAAGTCAGAGAAACAATCCCAATGGAAAAGCCACGGTTAAACAAATCATTGCTGAAAAGTTCCCAGAGCTGGACAATGCAAGCATCCAGATTCAAGGAGCTTGACGAGTACCAGCTAAAAGAGATACTAACAAAAACACTCCAAGACATATTATAGTTAGAATGATGGATGCCATGGATAGAGACACAATACTGCAAGCAGCAAGGTCAAAGAGGGAAATCACATACAAAAAAGCACCCCTTAGATTCACAGGAGACCTATCACAGGAAATCCTCCAAACCTGAAGGCATGGTGGGATATAGTGAAAAAGCACACTGAAATGAACACTTCACCAAGAATACTTGGCTAAAGTCTCACTCAAACTCAAAGGAACAGTACACTATTTTGTGGATAAACAACAGCTCAGGGATTTCATAGACTCAAAACCAAACCTAAAAGAAGGGCTAAAGGGGCTATTGTAAAAAAAAAAAAAACCCTACAAGCACAACAAACCCTTACAGAAAGATGACACAAAACCCCATGACAATAATCTCTCTCAACTCCAATCGTCTAAATTCACCAATTAGGAGACAAAGAGTGGCAAAATGGATTCAGAGACAGAACCCAACATTCTGCTGCCTACAAGAAACACATCTGAACAATCAGAAAAAAATACAGACTCAGAGTCAAAGGATAGAAAACAACGCTGCAAGGAAACAACCCCCTCAAAAAAGCTGGAGTGGCCTTACTAGTATTGTACAACATAGATATCAGGTTGAAAAAGATTAGAAGGGAAAGTGAAGGTCATTTTTCATTAATCAAGGAATATGTGCAGCAGGAAGAAATCAGACTCCTAAACATATACGCACCCAATGAGGGACCAGCCAAATACCTACAACAACTGCTAACAGACCTTAAGAAGGACATTGCAAGCAACACAACAGTATTTGTAGACTTCAACACCGCCTTATCACCTCTGGATAGATAAAGAAGATTAAAACTCAGCAAGGAAATAATGGCTCTGAAGGAAGAAATAGAAGGCAGAGGCTTAATAGATTTGTATAGGACTTTATATCACGCCCCCACCCCCAAAAGAATACACATTCTTTTCCAGTGCACATGGAACGTTTTCCAGAATAGACTATGTGCTGGGCCACAAAGCATACCTCAACAGAATCACAAAGATAAACATTGTATCAACGATCTTCTCAGACCAAGATGCACCAAAGATAGAAGTTAATCATATACAGATGCAGAAAATCAAATTGAACACCTGGAAATTAAACAATTCAATGTTGAACAACGAGTGGGTCAGGAAAGAAATCCAGGAAGAAATCAAAAGATACATGGAAACAAATGAGAGTGAAGACACAAGCTACCAGAACCTATGAGACGCAGCTAAAACTGTGTTAAGGGGAAAATTTATAGCTCTGCAAGCATTTCTCAGGAAGGAAGAAAGGGCTCACATAAACTAATTGACTTCACAGCTGAAGATCTTAGAAAAGGACCAAAAAAGAGCCCAAATCAGGCAGAAGGAAAGAGATCATAAAACTTAGAGCAGAAATCAAGGACATGGAAGCCCAAAAAACAAGCCGAAATATCAATGAAACCAAGAGCTGGCTTTTCAAGAAAATAGTTAAACCAACAGCAGCTTTCACAAAGAAAGAGAGAGAGAACCCTAATAAACCGAATCAGAAATGAAGGGAGATATCAAAGAAATTCAAAAGATCAGAGACTACTTTGAAAATCTGTATGCCATGAAACAAGAGAACCTAGAAGAAATGGATAAATTCCTGGATTCCTATAATCTCCCAAGGCTGAATCAAGAAGACCTAGAATACCTGAATAGTCCTATTAATATCAAGGAAATTAAAACTGTAATCAAAAATCTTCCCCAAAACAAAAGCCCAGGTCCACATGGATTCACTAGCAAATTTTTCCAAACATTTAAAAAGGACCTATTTCCAGTTCTTCTCAAGATTTTTCAGGAAATGGAAGAAACAAAAACTCTCCCAAACAGTTTCTATTAGGCTCATATCTCTCTAATATCAAAAGGAAACTAAGAAAGCACAAGAAAAAAAAAGTACAGAACCATACCACTGATGAACAGGATGCTAAGATTCTCAACAAAATACTAGCAAATAGAATTCAACAACTCATCAAAAAGATCCATACAACATGACCATGTGGGATTAATCCCGGCGATGCAAGGATGGTTTAACATTCAAAAATCAGTCAACATAATCCATCATATCAACAAAAGAAAAGATAAAAACCATATAATCACATCAATAAATGCAGAGAAAGCATTTGACTAGATCCAGCACCCATTTATAATGAAAACCCTAGCCAAAATGGGTATAGAAGGGACTTTCCTCAATATAGCTAAAGCCATCTACCACAAGCCTACAGGAAGCATAATCCTCAATAGGGAAAAACTAAAAGCCTTCCCTCTAAGATCAGGGATGAGACAAAGATGCTCACTCTCTCCACTCCTGTTTAATATAGTACTGGAAGTACTTGCAATAGTGGTTGGTCAAGAAAAAGATATTAAGGGCATTCAGGTGGGAAAAGGAAGAAATCAAGCTCTCACTATTCACAGATGATTTGATATTATACTTATAGAACCCTAAAACCTCTACTAAGAAACTCCCAGAAACAATAGACTTGTACAGTAAAGTTACGGGCTATAAAATCAATACCCAAATTCCTTGGCTTTCCTACATGCAAATAATGGGAGAGAAGAAAGTGACATGAAAAAAACAATCCAGTTCATAATTGTGCCCCAGAAAATCAAGTAACTAAGAATCAGCTTAACTAAGGACGTAAGAGACCTGTACAAAGAAAACTACAAAACGCTACTTCAGGAAATAAAAGAGGACACAAAGAAATGGAAAGATATCCCCTGCTTGTGGATTGGAGAATTAACATTGTCAAAATGGCAATACCCATGACATTCTTCAAAGAAATGGAGCAAACACTCCTAAAATTCATATGGAACAATAAGCCCCCATGAATATCTAAAGCACTTCTTAGGAAAAAGAAAATGGAATGAATCAACCTCCCCAACCTCAAACTCTACTACAAAGCAATATTAATTAAAACAGCATGGTACTGGAACAAAGCAGAGCCGCAGACCAATGGAACAGAGTTTAATGTACTGACATTTCCTCCCAAATATATGATCATCTAATCTTTGATAAGGGAGCAAGAAATGTGAAGTGGAGCAAGGAAAGCCTCTTTAACAAATTGTGCTGGCAAAACAGGACAGCTACAAGCAAAAAAAGTGGGCTCAGATCTCTACCTAATACCACGTACAAAAGTAAGATAGAAATGGATTAAAGACCTCAATATCAGACTGGAATCCATAAGGTACATTGAAGACAAGGTTGGCAAAACCCTCCATGACATTGAAGCGAATGGTATCTTCAAAGATGACACACCACTGGCCAAGCAAGTGAAAGCAGAGATAGACAAATGGGCTATCTTAATCTAAGAATCTTCTGCACCTCAAAAGAAACAGTGACCAAAATACAAACACAGTCTACAGAATGGGAAGGGATATTCACCCAATACCCATCCAATAAGGGGTTCATATCAAGGATATACAAAGCACTGGTTGAACTCCACAAGAAGAAAACATCCAAACCCCTCAAAAAATGGGGTGACAAAATGAACAGAAACTTTCTCAAAGAAGAAATCCGAATGGCTAAAAGAGACATGAGAAAATGCTCTACATCACTAATCATCAGGGAGATGCAGATCAAAACAACAAGGAGATATCATCTCAAACCACAGAGACTGGACCACATCCAAAAGAACAAATACAACTGGTGTTGGCACGGATGTGGGGAGAAAAAGACCCTCCTTCACTGCTGGTGGGTATGCCGACTGGTTCAGCCCTTTTGGAAAACAGTATGGACACCTCTATCACAAACTATAACACCCTAAAGGAAAGAGAGAGTAAATGGGAATGCCCTGCCACAGAGGCAGGGTGGGGTGAAGGGATGGGGTGAGGGGGTGGGAGGGCTATTGTGATCATTGGTGGTGGAGAATGAGCACTGGTGAGGGATGGGTACCAATCATTGTATAACTAAAACCCAAGGACGAAAGCTTGTAAGTCTAAAACTGTACCTCATGATGTTTCACTAATAAAAAGAAATAATTTGTAACAGACACAGAATTAACATGTGTTTAATGAATTGATTAAACCTGCTGCAAGCAGAATTTTGAGATATGTGAATTTGAAAGCAAAGCTATCATATCATTTACAGCCCACAGAGAAAATGTTCTTCAGTGATTCTTGGTATTTTAACATGGAATATCTTTGCTATTTCACATATCATTCGTAAGTTATACCTGTGTTGAAATATCAATGCTTCAACTGTCTGAACTGAGTCATTCCACTTGCTAATCATTAAGACTTTTGTCATGGAAATGTGATTACTACCTTTTAACTAATCTCTCCAGTAATGGCATCTTCTATTCCACACTGCTTTGTTTATTTGTGAGTAAGGGGTGAACCCTGCCATACAGGCAACATAAAATTTAAACTAAAACTGTTAACTGATATTTAAAGGGCATATTTCTGTCTGCTAGACAGAGGCTCTGTTTTGGAAATTCATAGGTACTTGGCCCAAACATGACAATAGTAGATGGTGTTTATACATAATGGAATATACTTTGAAACCAGGATTACTAGCCCTCAACAAATTTTATATTTGCACAGCGGTAGGGCGTTCGCCTTACAAGCGGCCAACATGACCAACCCGAGTTCGATTCCTCTGCCCCTCTCGGAGAGCCCGGCAAGCTACCGAGAGTATTCAATATGCCAAACACAGTAACAACAAAGTCTCCAATGGAGACATTACTGGGCCCGCTCGAGCAAATCGACGATCAACGGGAGGGCCTTTACCTTTACCTTACTATTTTATAGCCAAGGAAATTAGGGCAATGGGGAAAATATTAAATGCAATGGTATCCCTGAAAAAAAAAAATTCACAAATAAGGTGGGTTAAGAGGAATGACCTCTCCTCCTCCAATGTTCCTCAATAGCAATTATTCCTGGGATCGTTGGATTAAAGTTTGAATTTTCTCTTATTTATTCTTTGAATCACTTGCATTCTTTCTTTCCTTTCCTTTCCTTTCCTTTCCTTTCCTTTCCTTTCCTTTCCTTCTTCTTCTAATTTTTGACATTCTTTCATGGATTTTCAATTTATTTGCTATACTGTATTTTAGGTGCCACGGTTATAATAGCATTGAAATATGGAGTTCATGCCCTTTTCAACCAGCTTAATTAGTGATTGAATAAATAGTAATACTTTACATTCCACCATCACTGTCCACCACTGTCCTCCCCTTTTTCATTGATTTGCTCAAGCAAACCCAGTAACGTCTCCATTTTTGAGACTTGTTGTTACTGTGTTTGGCATATTGAATACTTCATGGGTAGCTTGCCAGGCTTTGCCGCGTGGGCGAGAGACTCTCAGTAGCTTTCCGGACTCTCTGAGAGGGGTGGAGCAATCGAACCCGGCTTGGCCGGACTGGCTGTGCATAAGGCAAACGACCTACTGCTGTGCTATTGATACAGCATTAACGTTTATAATATTGGTGTAAAAAATTACTACACCACCCTGCCACCAAAATGACCAAGATCCTGCATCACTGTCCTTATGTCATCGCTACTTCACCTTTCATTTCCCTTTAGTCCTCCCCACAATGCTCAGAAATCTGTTTTGTAATAAATGCTTAAGCATTTGTCAATGATACCATATTTCTATTCTCATTTTCTTTCTACACAGATACATGAAATTATTTGGAATTTATAGTTCTCCCTTTGACTTTACCCTATAAAATGTTACCCAACAGTTCTATCCATGTTGTAGCAAACTGTACGATTTCATCTTTCTTTTCTTCATCTTGTCTACAGTTGTATAGTATTCCATTCTGCATATATACCAGAAGATTTTATCAAATGGGTTTGCTTTCTACTGGAGCCTGGACATTACAGGTGTCAAGTAGGCTCTATGATATTTATTAAACGTGTAACCACACAAAGTTATTTATTTGCTTTCTCCCTTATAAAACAACTAATTAAATAGGAACAGCATATAGATTTATCATAAATTATATATTATCACAAATGCTCTTATTGATTCATTACTTAATCATATTTTCATGAGCAAATAAAATAAGTAGTTAAAATCTGAGAAAACATTTTTCAAAAATTCTTACATAAAATACAGATTTAGGAATTGAAGAAATAGTACACAGTTTATTGCTCTTGCCTTGCCTGTATTCAATCCCTGGCACTCCATTTGGTCCCAGGACCAGCAAGAATGATCCCTGATCACAGATCTATAAGTCCTCCCTGAGCATTGCTGGAAGCAGTCCAAAACCCAATAAAATATAGATTTCAGTAACACTCATTGAAAGAAATATAATTATCCTTTTCTTCCAAAATTTACCCAAATATTGCACAAAATGATAACTTACAGTTCAGACAATTCAAGATGACGAAAATGTTTCCTAGACAAGCTTGTCAGTTTATTTCGGGTAAAATTGCTGAAAAGAAAAAAAATAAAATGTGAATTAAAAACGTTACATTTTAAGTACCTATTTGAATACAAATAGAGATTTTCTTTTTTTCAAAATTTATTTTGATTTTATCTTTTTACATGCATTACTGAGAGATCAATAATCTCTCACCTGAAATGATGGCTAATTTTTGGCATCTCCTATAATTCTTATGTAGAGAGGACACAAATTCACATTGGATGCTTTTTGCTCTTTAACATAAAATTTAGTTTTTCATACATAGATTCTTTTATTTTTCAATTCACTGTGAAATCATAAAGTTATTCATGATTAGGTCTCAGGCATTCAATGTTTCAGCACAAATCCCTTCCCCAGTGACCACTTCCTTTCACTAATGCTCCACCCAACTCCATTTGCCTCCCATCCATCAGTCCGCTTCTATGAGAAGCCAAGATATATACATTAAAAAACAGGATTAGATCAACATTTAAAATCACAAATTCACCATGAAAAATATGCTTTAAAATAAACAGGATATAGCAAAAGTTGACAGCTACATGCAAAAAAAAGAAAAAAATGGGCTCAGACCTCTACCTAACACTATGAACACTATGCACGAAAGTCAGAACAAAATGGATTAAAGACCTCAACATCAGACCAGAATTCATAAAGTACAGTGAAGAAAAAGTTGGCAAAACCCTCCATGACATTGAGGCTAAAGGTATTTTCAGGGGCTGGAGCAATAGCACACCAGGTAGGGTGTTTGCCTTGCACACAGCCGACCCGGATTTGATTCCTAGCATCCCATATGGTCCCCTGAGCACCACCAGGAGTAATTCCTTAGTGCAGAGATAGTAACCCCTGTACATTACCAGGTATGACCCAAAAAGCAAAATAAAATAAAATAAAATAAAAGTTGCCTTCTCATTAAAATAAATAAATAAATAAATGTATTTTCAAAGATCAAATGCCACTGGCCAAGCAAGTAGAAACAGAGATAAACAAATGGCACTATCTTAAACTAAGTACTTCTGCACCTCCAAAAAAAAAAAAAACCGTGACCAGAATACAAAGACAGTCTACAGAGTAGGAAAGAATATTCATCCAATACTTTCTGATAAGGGGTTAATATCAAGGATACAGAAGGTACTTTTTGAACTCTACAAAAAGAAAACATCCAATGCCATCAGAAAATGGGCGATGAATTGAACAGAAAATTTCTCAAAGAAGAAATCCAAATGGCCAAAAGGCACAAGAAAAAAAAATGCTCTTCATCACTAATCATCAGGCAGATGCAGATCAAAACAACAATGTGATATCATCTCACACCAGATAGACTGGCACACATTCAAAAGAACAAAAGCAGACCTTGCCAATAGCAGCCAACCTCTGGGAACCATCTCTACTATCTCCCCTATCCAGGTCCCAGCCTGGTGGAGGTACTTTCTGGAGCTGTAGTTGCTGACGCAGCCACAATTTATTCTCCCTATCCATGTTCCATAAGAACCACAAGTTAACCTCATAGGTAGAATTTTGACTAGGGCACCTTGATCACCAGAAACTCATTAGACCAATAAACCCCACACAATTTTCCCCGCATCAATTAATATTACATCAAAAAACACAACAGTAACAGTGAGTGTGAAGGTCTAAACCACACAGGTCACAATGGTAAAGCAACGAAGAAGCCAAGTTTAGTTAATGAAAAGACTAGCCCAGAAGACCCAAATAGTAAATGAAGTGCTAGACAATCTCTCTGACAAGGAATTTAGAAGGAAACTACTAAGGATACACAGGAAGCTAAAGAAGCAGTGGAACTCACTGCCAATAAAATACAAGAGGATTTGAGAGTAGAAATGTGGAAATTGCAAAAAAAAATAGAAATGGATATGACAGATATGAAAAACCTAGTGGGTGAATTGAAAAACTCAGTGGAAGGCCTCATCAACAAAGTAAAAGCTGCTTGAAGACAGAAACAGTGAGCTCCAAGATGAGATGCAGAGAATTTCCAAACAACAACAGAAAATGGAAATGAGACTCACAATCAATGGACAGATGTCAAGAGAAAATCGGGATGAAGCAAAGAAGAATAAAAAAGAATGATTGGAGTCCCAAAGGGACAGGAAGGAAGCCCTGAGGAAAAAAGAAACCACCAAAGGCATCATTGCTGAGAAATTCCCAAAGCTGAAGAGCACATGCAAGCAGATTCCAGAGACCTGAAGGGTACCAGGTAGAAGAAATCCAAATAAAAATACCCCAGGACACATCCTGATCAAAATGACAAAAACCTTAGACAGAGACAAAACTCTGAAAGCATCAAATCAAAGATATAAATTGCCTATAAATGAGCATCCTTAAAATTGACAGCCGACTTATCTGGTGAAACCCTCAGGGCCTGAAGGCAGTGGTGGGATATAGTGAAAAAACTCAATGAAATAAATGTTTTACCAAGAATACTTTACCCAGCTAGACACTCATTCATATCAGAAGGAATAACACACTGTTTCAAACAACAAACAACAACTCAGGAACTTCATAGACTCAAAACCATGGTTACAAGAACAACAAAACAGGCTACTTTAAGACAAAACAAGCCCCTCAAATACACCAAACTTTGGCAGAAAGAAGGGACAAAACCCCATAACAATAGTCTCTCTCAATGTCAATGGGCTAAACGCACTGATTAAAAGACACAGAGTGGGTTAAAGAAACTTTGGTACATCTACACAATGGAGTACTATGTAGCTGTTAGAAAAGATGAAGTCATGAAATTTATATACAAGTGGTACAACATGGAAAGTATCATGCTAAGCGAAATGAGTCAGAAAGAGAGGGATAGACATAGAAAGATTGCATTCATCTGGGGAATATAAAGAAACAAAATATGAGATTAATACCCAAGAATAGCTGAGATCAACACCAGGAGGATTACTCCATAGCTTAGAGGCCAGCCAGGCATTCTAGGGGAAAGGGCAGCTCAGATAGAGAAGGGAGCACCAAATAAAGGGTGTTTGGAGGATCCTCCCAGGAGGGGAGATGCATGTTGAAAGTAGACTATGGACTGAACATGTTTGCCACTCAAAGCCTCTTTTGCAGACCACAACACTCAAAAGGAGAGAGAGAACACAAGGTATTGCCCTGCCACAGAGGCAGGGTGAGATGGGAGGAATGGGGGTAGGAGGGATATTATCCATGGTGGTGGAAAATGGGGACTGGTGGAGGGATGGGTATTTGATCATTGTATAATCGAAACCCAAGCACAAAAATTGTAAATCTGCAACTGTACCTCATGGTGTTTCACTAAAAATTTTTAAAAAATTTAAAAAAAAGACACAGAGTGACAGGATGGATCAGAAAATTGAACCCAACATTCTGCTGCCTGCAAGAAACACATCTGAATGGTAAGAGCAAACACCGACTCAAAGTCAAATGATGAAAAACAATTATACAGGCAAACAACTTTTAAAAAGCTGAGGTGGCTAATCTGGTATCAGACCACACTGATTTCAGACTGAAGAAGGTCACAAGAGACAGTGAAGGTCATTTCTTCAAGGTCACTGATCAAGAATCTGTACAGGTGGAAGAACTCACACTACTAAATGTATATGCACCTGGGGCTGGAGAGATAGCACAGCGGGTAGGGCATTTGCCTTGCATGAGGCTGACCTGGGTTCGACTCCCAACATCCCATATGGTCTCCTGAGCACCGCCAGGGGTGCTCCTGAGTGCAGAGCCAGGAGTAACCCCTGTGCATCGCCATGTGTGACCCAAAAAGCAAAATATAAATAAATAAATAAATAAATAAATAAATAATGTATATGCACCTGATGAGGGGCCAGCAAAGTACTTAAAACAACTACTTTTAGACGTGAAGAAAAACAATAGAAACACAATACTAGTGGAGACTTCAACACCTTTTTATCACCTCTCCATAGATCAACTAGACTCAAACTCAACAAGGACATACTTTATCTGAGGGAAGAAATGGAAGAAAGGAACTAAGTAGATATATACAGGAAACTTTATCCACAAAAAGATGAATACACATTCTTCTCAAGAATGTGGGATATTCTCCAAGACCACATGCTGGGCCACAAAACATACTTCCATAAAATTATGAAGATAGAGATTGTATCAATGAACTTCTCAGACCATGATACACTAAAAATCTAAGTGAATCACACTGGAAACAGGAATTCAAATCAAACACCTGAAAATTAAACAGCTCATTACTGAACAAGTGGCTTAGAAAGGAAATCAAAAAGAACTTATGGAACAAAGCAAAAGTTGTGTTAAGTGTTAAATTTATAGACTGACAAGAATTCCTCAGGAAGAAATAGAGAGCCCACATAGGTAATGTAATCTCACAGTTTAAGAACTTGGAAAATGACCAACAAAAGGAGCCAACCTAAGTAGGAGAAAGGGAATGATAAAACTTAGAGTAGTCGTGATGGAGCGATAGTACAGTGGGTAGGGCATTTGCCTTGCACGCATTCGACTCAGGTTCGATTCCCAGCATCCCATATGGTTCCTTGAGCACCACCAGGAGTGATTCCTGAGTGCAAAGCCAGGAATAACCTCTGTGCATTGCTGGGTGTGACCCAAAAAGAAAAAAAGACTTAGAGCAGAAATTAATGAGATGGAAGCCCAAAAAAACAATCCGAATGACCAATGAAACCAAGAGCTGATTCTTTGGCCAATATCCCTAATGAACACAGATGCAAAGATCATCAAAAATATCCTAACAAACAGAATCCAAGGACTCATTTAAAAGATCATACACCATGACCAAGAAGAATTCATCCCAGGGATGCAAGGATGATTTAACATTCTCAAGTCAATTAATATAATCTGTCATATCTATCAATAATAAAAATAATAAAAACCATATGATCATATCAATAGATGCAGAGAAAGCATTTGACAAGATCCAGCACCCATTTATGATGAAAATTCTCAGCAAAATGTGCATCCAAGAAACTTTTCTCAATATAGTCAAAGCCATCTACCACAAGCCTACAGCAAGC